ACCCAGGCTCTGCCGCTAACTATAGCTGTGGATTTAGGGAAAGTCATTTCACCTTTCTGAGCCTCGGTCTTCTCTAAATATGAGGAAAACAATACTTCCTTCTTCATGGGGTTGTGTGAGGTGCAGTATTGTAAGACACAGTACAGGGCCTGCCACATTAAGAATTCTATAAATGTTATTATTAGTTTTATCATCCTTCCCCCTTTTCCTTCTTGCTTTTAAATTGTTTCTCTTTGGACACAAGGACTATGTGGGATACGGCCAGGGATGAGAAAGGGGGTAACCCCCTGGGAAGACGGTGAATCTTTTTTGATGCACAGAATTTAGGAAATTGCAGGTTTTCTCTAGAAATATGACCGCTATCAGCGCACAGTAAAGGGGGCATCTAGCTGTGATATAGCCACTGGTTCTGAGGCCTGTCTGCATCCTGACTTCCTGGTTAATACAACTGTCAGAGCACCAGTGACCAAGACATGGCACAGCCCTCCCCTTGTTCTGGGCCACGCTCTCACCACTGTGGCATAGCTCTTAGGATGGGGAGGAAGGTAATTTCTTGATTATCTATGGCAATACTGAAGGCCAAAGCTACTTTAAGTGCTGCCTGTGGCTAAAAGTTCTATTTGGCTTTTATTTGCTGGTATAATTGAACATTTTTATAGGTGTGTCTATTTGCACACCAAATTTGATGGAATTGACCCCATGCTTTGGAGACTGACCTTCCGGTTAAAGTAGCCCACAGCGTGAGGGGAGAGGGACGGGGAAGGGAACAGAGGACAAGAACCAGGGAGAATGAGAGCGTGAGCGAAATACTGATGTCTGTGCACAAATGAGGCAGTGGCCTAGGAGGAAGAGAGAAGGCCAGCCAGCCTTCCTCTGTGGCTGGGAAGACACCTCCAGAGACGGTGGCCCACCTCCCGGTTGGGGGCCACCAGCTCCACCTTGCAGTACAGAGGGTAATTCTAAGTTGTATTCTTCTGTTTCCTCCCAAGGGATTTTTCTGCAAAGAAGAAAAAGACTTTGATAACTGGTGTAGCCTTGTTCAGAAGGTAACGATGTACTTTTTTTTCAGTCTTACAAATGACAGCCACTCAGTAAGATTCCTTTTTAAGACTGTTTTCAGAGTAACATAAACCTAGTCTGACATGACTTTATTGCAAGAGAGAGAAACAAAGGCAACAAAGAATATATCATATGGGAGGAACTGTGCCTAACTTTGGGGGAACAAACCAAAGCTTTTGTTTCAAACATGCTTAATATGTCAGGTGAGTAACGGTCTTAGTGGTGACAATATTTCCTTTCACTGCACTTATGAATCATGTGGAATATTTAACTAATACCCTACTATTTTAACCTAAAAATGCCAATTTCACATTTCTCAGCCCTAAGTCCATCCTTACTCTCTTCGTGATACTCAGGTGGTTTAATGAAACTAATGCACTTTTCCACTTGTTTAGTGTTCTATTAACAGCTCAATATATTCCATCATGGCTTTGACAGCTTGTCCTCCTACTAACTTTCTTATTTATAAAATATAGACATGCTACCACTTATAGGAAGTATAACTTGCAGTAATCCATGTGAGGTTCTTTTTTGCTTTTGGTATCTTGTGTAAAAGGGAATTATCTCACTGGCTTATCGGTCTTTGTGCTGCCTCCCTCATGGTCAGCCTCTAACTCATGCCAGCAGATGGAAAATGTGTATGAATTATTATTGAAAGCCCAAAGGGAGATCATGAGAGGTAGTTAAAGAGCCCCAGGTGGGGTGGCAAAAGACGCAACGTTCTCCTGTCTGTGAAACAGAAAGATTGGAAAGATGGGAGTCCATAACCTTTGCAAGAATAAGAAGGAAAGGTTTTTCTTCACAAGTGAATAAGTGACACCAGTGTACCTAACTGAATCTGAGACCCAACAGGTAATAATGTACTGATACAAAATAGAGAATTATTTTTAAAGGCAGTACTTACACTTCGGAATGCAGCAAAATTGTATAGCTCTCACATTTAAAGATAGAATGAGAATATTATGATAAGATTATGCCATTTAAATTAGCACATATGCCTTAAATGTTGGACTACAACTAAACCCATGCTAATATGTGCTGGAATTCTCCTGGGGCGTATTTAATTTGATTAAATGATATTTTTTTGAAACAAATACTTCAGGAACACCTCACACCTAAGTTGAGTTGGGCCTGTGCAGCTGGCTCAGTACTCAAGCTGCGTGATGGAGTGTGGACAATGAGTACTGGGTTTCATCAGCTACTCCTTCTAATGGCCTTCCTGCCTGGCCAATAGGATCCAGAATTAAAGACAGCCGATATCTTCACATGGTTCAAGTAGAGGATACATTTATCCACTAAGCATTTTTTCCTACCTGTCAACTCTCAGGTTATTCTTGTAGGGTTTGTGTCATAGATCACCAATTGGACAGAAATACAGTGACTCTATAGGATTTACAACTGTTTCTGTATCTCCCCAGGAAATTCTGAAGGAGAATTTAAGGATGTTTGAATTAGTTCAGAAACATCCACCACACTGGCCTCCCTTTGTACCTCCAGCCAAGCCAGAGGTGACAACCACAGGGGCAGGTAAGGTGCTGCTTAGGAGTTATCGGCTGGCAGATCCACATGTAGCAATTTTATATGAGACAGAAGCAACTGTGGCTCATGCTTCCTGTGGAAAATAAAATTTCTACTCAGCTGACCTGTTCAAGGAATGATTTGGCTGATTATTTTAATCTTCTGATGAGCTGATACTTCCCAGTTGTAAAGAATGATAAATGAAGTACATGCGCTCAGTACAAAAGTTCTATGCAATATCAAGGTGTCTAGAATTTTGTTGTTGTTGTTTCGTGCTCTGGTTCAGAAGAGTAAACCAGAGTCTGTGGGTAATTCAAACAGTATCTTGCAGGGCTTGCAGATTGTTGGCCAGATCACTGATCTGGCAAATGTAACCAGTCTGGTTATTTTGAGTCTTTGTGGAGAATTTCTAATACTTGGCAGTGAGCCTAATTGTAATTCTCTAGATAAATCTTACTTTGGCAAAGTGATTTTAAAATACGTCGTCTTAATGACTGAGTAATGTATTGATTGACCACGTCAACCCAAATGCCATTGTTTTCTTCTCTTTCTGTATTCTAATAGAATTCATTGACTCTACTGAACAACTGGAGGACTTTGACCTGGAGGAAGATTTTGAGATTCTGAGTGTGTAGTGTAGTGGGAACTCGATCTGGAGGTCTGTCTTCCACCTGGCACCACAGGAACATGAACTTATTACCTAAAACTTTCCTAGTCAGCAAGTGCCTGATATGCCAACAGCATACAACCTTAACAGCAGTCATGGTGGAGTCAATACCATGTCTCAACATAAAGCAGAAAACAAAGAAAGGACAACAACCCTTCCCCAGGAAGAAATAGAACAATCGTGGAGTCTAGGAGCAGAGAGTTTAGGAGGAGGCCATTGCTTCCCGCTTGTCTTACACAGCTGCAGTGCGGCTTCAGTAGCTGAGATGAAGACATTTGGAAGACAGACAGCAACTCCCGTTTGTTCCCAGCATCGGCAGATGAGAGATCTTGTGCTGTTCTCCACTCTTGCAGGTGTGACCTCTTTTGGGCTAAATACTAAGAGGCAATCTGTTCTCTTGCTCAAATAATAAAGTAAATCAGGGAGAAACAGTTCTTGTTAAATTATTTGTATGCGTATTTTAAATAGTTCTAATTTATATCAAAACATTTGCCATAGAAATGATGTCAACTGTATACTTCTCAGTTGTCTTCCTATTTGGAGGAACTTTAGTGTTTGATGGGTCACAGTCTTCATACTTACTGGTACTTTTGTCAGATGTCACCCGTCCTGTCTTTAAATCAAATCATGCTCCTTGAATCAGGGGTCAGTAAACTTTGTTTCTGTAAAGGGCTGGATAGTAAATATTCGAGGCTTTGCAGGCCGTGTGGCCTCTGTCACAATTACTCAGCTCTGCTGTGGAAGAGTAGAGGCAGCAATAACCAACACACATAAAGCCCCTAGCAGTGCTTTAGTCCAGTAAAATTTTATTCACAAAGACAAGTGGAGGGCTAGACTTGGCCTGTAATCACTGGCAGTTAAATTGTTTAATTTATGTTTGAGGAATTCAAAATAAATTTTGTCTGAATTATACTGTTTTGGTTGACAGAGCTATTCAGAAAGAATTATTCGTGTGGTGACAGCTAATCTGTGTGATAAATACAGTTCCAAACCACTTTAGGACTAGTAACTTACTAAGTTTTAAAACTCATATTCATCAAAGGGGCTTTGCTAACCACTCTTCTGTGAGGACACTAAAGTCTTTGTAGTATCTTTCTGTTTTCCTTGCCTTGCCTTCTTAGCTTTGTGCGTTTCACTCCCATCCTTAACATAGTCCCGCAGGAGGCCAGCATCTGGGGTCTACAAACGGGCACCAACTGATTAAATTGTTTCCCTAGGTTCCATGTTTGCCTTTTTTTCCCCAGTAGGTAATATATTCCAGAGGTTCAACATTCAAAAGATGCAAAATGATATTCAGTGTAGTATCTTCTTTCACAGATCAGTTCCCTTCCCTTAAAGCTCCCAGTGTTATTAATTTCTTGTTTATCCTTGCAAAGGATGTATTTTATGCATATATAAGTATATTCACATACTAAAGTATATACACACACACATAATATATGCACATAAAACCCACTCATGTATATCTTATGTTTGATTTTAATGGCTTTAATATTTCTCTAGTTTTAATTTATTCATACATGATACTGAGGCAACGGAAGTATGGCCATGCCCTTCTTGAATTCTAGCATGTGATGGGTATAAAAATAGTTGTAGACTTACTTTGGAGCACATTGTAGGTTTGCTGACCAGTAGCAGACTCATTCAGCTGTTAGACTTTGATTATTTTCTAACTTTTTCTTGCCTTAATATTTAGTTAGTTTAGTGAGAATGGATGTTAGAAAGGTTTTTATTGAAGAATGCCAAGAGTCGAATGTTCAGATTTTATTCATTTTATTTGCTATGTACAAAGCTGACACCATGTTTATTACTCAGAAGGTGAAGGATACAGTAGTACAGATTATACCGATTATGCTTCGTTTGCGTTGGCACAGTTTACATAATACTTAAAGAAACAGAATCACCTGGAAGGAATGGCCTCATGTCAACATAGTTAAAAGTGTTCTCCGAAACTGGTGATTAAAGAAAATGGCTGAAGCAAATCCCCCAAACATAATATACTTTATAACCAACTCAGGCTTGCTTTTGGTCTACTAATTGTTGATGAGAGGAATGTGCTAAATTTTATGAGTTTTTAAAAACATTAAAATAGTTTAAAAGGCTACCTGTGAAAGAGTAGTTGGATGACCATTTTAATGGAAAACCTCAGCCTCAGAATGAAAAGAACTAACACACCACACGTCGCTTTATCACATGGAATACATCTGCATGGTATTTAGGATAAACAGAGACTTCTGAGGAATTGAGCAAACGTAAATGCGATTTATCTTTTTATTCCTTGAGCCAAAACCAAAATGTCCACCTCCTTACCCATCTACTCCTGTAAGCCTGGCCCACAAAAAAAGGGATGTGGTCCCTATTTCCTTTTATGGACTTGGCCACATTTACTGCATCCTCTGTTCTCCTTTGATCCAAGCAAAGTCCTCTGGCTAGGAAGAATGAGCCAGTAGGGAGGAAGTGATTTGTCTAGGAACATGTGAAGTTAAGGGGCTGCTGGCCATCAAGCCTTCCTAAGCAGTGAGGGAGCCAGTCTTGTGCACTTTGGAAGGAGTCATGGCTCACCGTGAGCCCCTGGCTGGCACTTCCTTCCCGTTCTGTTGCCCGCCTAGACACAGTGGGCCTCTTGGAATAGTGAGGGCTTGCCCTTTGCACACTTGAGCCATGTGTGAATGTTCAAACAGGTAATTTTTTTAAAAATATAGAAACACTGGGTTCTGGCTTAAGCCAAATAATGTGTGGTATGTTCTGGACATAACGAAGTGACTTAATAGTCCTAGGTCTCATGAAGAGATTTCTGATCAAGACAGGGAGGCACCTAGCAGCCTTAAGAAAGTGGTGGTCCAGCAAATCTTTCTGAGGTAGCCATGAACCGACATGCAAAACACCCAAATAGAACAGTAGCGCTAGGTTGGTGACACAGGGACAGCAGACTTCACAGGGTGGGATCATCTAATGGTTCGAGGGTCGAAGTGACCAGTGTCCAGCAGTCCAGCCCAAATGCAACTCCAATGTGTAACTCGATAGATAGGCAGAAGGGCCCAGGCCTGCTTTCTTCTGATCGTTGAGGCAAGCGAGGTGACCCTTGTGAGGGGTGGGGCAGGCAAGGGGCAGAGTGGTAGGTGCCACCCTACAGGTTTTTCATACACACCTGGCAGCGGCTAACCCGGGTGTGGAGCTGCCCAGCTTTCAGCGTTTCTGACACAGGTTCTTCCCTGAACTGTTGCCTCTCCTCCACTGTCGTCAGCCAGAAACTGTACTTGTTGGCGAAGTAGTGGCAGGTGCCTCGGGCACCACTGCACTCAATGAAAGGAGTGGCCCGAAAATCCTCAAGGCAGGAGCCTGGGGAAACCAAGGACTGGCCTCCACCCTCGGCCCCAGTGGCAGTGTGCTGAAACAGATGGGAAGGAGGTTGGCTGTGAGTTGTGCCTGCTGAGGTCTGTCACAGGGTGGGGATGAGTGTTCTGTGGCTACAGCGGGCCGCACGTGCTCTGTTTCTAAGCCCTCGTCCCACAGCTCAGCCCTTGCTTCTGGTCAGCATGACAAAAACTGTGTTTTAGGAGAGCAGCCGCCCATCCGCCCTCATAGCAGCCTTCAGGGCCAGGGGCGCTCCCAGCTGCTTTGTTCTCTCCTCACCTCTCGTGCCAGCGACTACCTTCCAACCAGTGTTTCCCAAACTGCCGCTGTGCTACTGTTCAGAGGTATGTTAGACATCCCCTCCCCCACTTTCATGGCCAAATAAATGCGAGAACAGTTGGATTAAGGCAAATTCACAAGGTTTCTTAATTGCAGTTCCCTAAGCCCTTCGTCTACTATGCCTAAGTCTACCGTGCCCTGTACTCTAAGCAGGAAAAAGTGGACAGTATTCCACACATCCATCCAAGCATGGGCCCTCCCTTAGCAGCATCAACAGCTCTTGGCTGGTTGCCTCTTTGGGACTACTTATATTTTCAGTCTGTGCCACACCCTTTAGCGTGACATATAGTGTATGCTACCTGCTGAGTGAAAGAAGGCTGTGTATTTGGTCTAAATGTCTCAACCCTCATTTCAGAGGGCTCCCCCAGCATTCACTTGCAGGGCCACTGATGAGGTGAGTCTCCAGTTACTGTACCCACAGACAGCAGTCCTCATCTGCGCTCCCCCCACCGCTCACCTTCACCTCAGCTAGGTTATCATCTGGACCACAGGATGGGGCCGAGGCTTAATGCACACTCGTGTCAGCAAATGGCTACAAGAATATATGCCCAGGTGGGGCTCCTTACTTTCCAGATCTCTGAGACAGTGAGAGTCTCCAAGTGACCCTTCCTGATAACCGAGGCATCAAAGTTTTCCTCATTTCAACCCCCAGGATTGAAAACTTTCTAAAACACATGACACAACTCCCTGCTTTACTAGACAGCAGACCCTGTATTGCAAACTTTGCAGATGACTCACGATTGTCATGGCAAATGTCAGGTTTTGTGGAGGGCGGTTATGCAAGCACCCTGTACCAAACCATGAAGTTTGTAAAACTCTTTGGCCACCTTCAAATCATTTTTCTCTCTTTTCTCCTTTTTAATTAGGATATTCATTGCCTCCGGATACCTTACTAGGTAGTCTACATTCTCACCTTTGCTGATTTTCTGGAAATACATACTTGTATGTTAGAAGTAAGAGTAAAAAAATTCTGAATAAGAGCTAAGCTCTCCCATGAACAGAGCACATGAGATTTAGTATACAGCCTTTGTATGGTTTCTTGGGGAAGCTTAGGGCCCTTTTTTCCTTGTTTCCTGGCCTCGCTGGTGGATGGGACGGAATGGCAGGGGAGGTAACTCTACAGCACATTGGGATAAATTGCCCATTGTGCAAAGTGAGAGCATAACAAGGAGGCACCCTACCCCAGGCAGGTACACTAGCTCGAGGGAGCCTGGGGCTTGGAAATTGTTTAAGGTTTTCCCTCCCATTGTTGCCCCAGTGCTTCAGCAGGATGCTCTGGTTAGGCCACTCCAGCGGCTTCCACACTGCGTTTCCTGGGAGTTGTCCTGGCTCTGAAACCTGACTTCTCATCTGATGAGTGATATTCACTGAACACCAAGTGAGTGACTCAATGCCTCCTTGGGCTCACAGGTGTTCTCTTTCTTCACGACACGCAGAATGTCTGGCCACTGCTTTCCCACAAATGTGGAAAGGCAGCAAAAATGCCAGCAAGGAGATATAAACATAATATGCCCTAACCTGGGCATTTCAGGACAAAATGGCGGTAGCTGGAAGGGCCTGGAAAAGTGTGTAAAAGAGCATGAAGTGCCAAGCTCAACTTGACCGGTGTGTCCTGGCCCAGAGTGGGGCCAGCCTTTCCCTCACTGTCCCCGCTGACTGTAGGGTACAGATGGTAGACTCTTGTTCTGTGATCATACATTTTCTTATGCTTGGAACAGTGGGTACAAAATACCGTCTCCCCCTCATACCCAGAACTACCTGTCTTTCATGCAGAACTAGATTCTCGGATGTTCAGCCAAGCCCCAGCATTTTCCTTTCCAACTGTGCCTGGCGTCTCAGGGCCAGTCAGAAGTGCCCTCCCACAGCCCCGGTCCTCTGCTTCTGCAGAGTGGGAGTGCAGAGCCTTACCATGAGGAAGGAGTACCCGATCCAGAGGCTTCGCCAGCCCAGAGGGCACTGTGGGACGGTGATGTCCTGGCTGTGCACAGCAATGGCTTGCGATGGCGCCTCACACACAGAGCAGCGGCTGATGTACTGGGGAATCTGGGCCTGGCTGACTGGCATCATGGGAATGGGGGCAGTAGTGGAAAGCCAGTAGGACTTATCATTGCGTCGGGCATAGTGGCACACTTCATTGATGTTGCAGTAAATGAAAGGCATGGTGCTGAAGCGGGGCAGACAGGAACCAGCAAACCCTGGTGAAAGGAGGAGAAGGTGGGCAAGGACAGGTCAGGTCCTGCTAGGGACCTGCTGAACTGCCAGGACTGGGCTAGCTGCTGGTTTGGATTTACATCCGGGTGCTTGACCAGATCAGGGCAGCTCTCCTCTAGTCTGACACCATCCGTATGAAGAAGTCAGTGGATCAAATCCTACTGCACATGCATCAGGGAGCTTTGATAATGGTGAGAATCTTTATAAACTCAGTCACTCCCTAGTTAATCTGCTTTATAAAACTAGCATTTAGTAGACTGAGGCTACCTATAAGAATTAGCACACCTTCAGATCATGCAGTTAACTCTTGGGTAGTCATCGTAGCCCTGCAACTCATGGAATTATTGTCACTGCTGATCACTGATGCTTACCTTAAACATTTCACGCTGGGTAACTCACATACTGCATGCACTACCCTAGGTAGTGATTGCACTAGAATTAGCCGTGTTCATTAAGGAGGAAATAGAAGCCCAGAGAGGTTGAATAACTTGCCTAGGGTACATGTCTGGTAAGTGGTGGCACCACCATTTGGACCCAGATCTGCCTGATTCCAGAACTGATACTTAGAACCCTATACATAACAGTGGACCCAAAGGGCTGGGAGAAGGAAGGCGGTTAGATGTTGGTGCTTGTGGGGCTAGGTGGCCGGGGTAGGTGTCAGGACCAGTTCTTACCCAGATCTTGGTTGTGTGCTTTCTCCTGGCCTTCCACGAACAGCAGGCTGTAACCTACCCACAGGTGGTTCATCCCGACGGGGCACACAGGCACCTGTTCCGACTGGCTGTGCTTCACCAACGTGTAGCCCACTCTCACGCTGTGCCCAGGCCTCCCAGGGCTCCCAGAGGGGCCTGGCTTCCCTGGAGCTCCTGAGAGGGAGAGAACATAAAACTGCGGGGCACGTTGTGTGCATGTGTTATCTTAGTTGATCCTCATGATGACCTTGGGAGATGGTACCATTATCAGCCCAATCTATGCACAAGAAGACCGAGGCTCAGAGCTTCCACAGCGAGTAAGTGATAGAGCTAGAATTCCAACTTAGATGCACCAAACTACAGAGCTCTCGCTTTTAAAAGCGCATTATTGGGGTTCCCTAGGATGGTCACCTATCCTTGGACTCTGTATGAGTGGAGATGATGGGATGTGGTCGGATCATTCTCAGGCTCTGACTTGAAGACCCTCGTAGGAGAGAGCTGCTGAATTGGAGCAGAGCTAGGAATAGCAGGCCAAAATCGTCCTCCTGTCCTCTCTTGCTCATGGCATATGTGGCCGATGGCTTGCAACATTTTCCCATGAAGCTTTGGAACTGTACTCTACTCAGGACAACTGTTCTGCTATCCTTGGTATAAAATGAAAGATTAGCAAGAGAGGTATGGACAGATAGATTCATCTCAGACGTTATTACTTCAACTGCCATCCCGCATCCACATTAGAATCCGTGGGCGGAAAAGGGGGCGGTGCAGGGCAGGAGGCCATGCTGCAGTATAGTCATAGCTCTTAAGAGCTGGATGAGGGCCCATAAAAAGATTTGGAACAGTCCTTTGTCTTCCAGAGTGTTCAGCTTCCGTTCACAGGCTCAGAGGGGGATGGGGAGTAACTGGATGGCAGCCAAGTTTCTGAGCCTCCTGGGAGTGTCAAGCTCTACTGCCCAGTTGGCTGGGTCTCCCATTCGAGTTTCGGACTCATGTCCAAGCCTCAAACCCTCACAGAAGCCCTCCGCCCCTAGTGTAACATCACCAAACCTTCATATCCTGGGGGACCTTGCAGTCCAGGGAGACCAGGATCGCCAAGAGCCCCAGGCGGGCCTGGAAGCCCATTGAGGCCATCCTTGCCAGGGATCCCAGGTAAACCTTTGGCACCTGTAGGAGAGAAAGGCCACAGGTTAGGGGAATTCAATGCGGAGGGTCCAGAAGCACCCTCTTGGGAAAGAGGATGCCCAAGACTCACCAGGAGAGGGAGCACTGACTGCCGAACTGGTGTGCACACCGCAGTGCGGCTGTCTGAGCTAGTTTGTAGTTCCCGGGAACATCTGTGCCCTGTCCTGGTCTCTCCATTTGGCTTTCTCACACACCCACTTCCTCGCTGGGAAGTATGCAGGGCAATGCCAGTGTCTCATATCAAAAGTGAGGCTCCTAAGTCCCAGAGAGACTGCTGACTTACTCTAGTTGAAGCAAAGCTGGACCCTAGATGCCAGGTTTCCTGTCACCAGCCTCTGACTTTCTCCACAGCCTCCTGCTACCCTCTACCTGCCACCACACTCTCCATGTCTAAGCGGCACTTTAGAGAGGAACAAGCTGGCTGGAGGACTGGCCGCGCTCTGCTCATCCTTTCTCCAAAGCCAGATACAAGCGCTCCCCTTTCGTCTCTGCCAGCCTTCTCCTCCCTGGTCAGAGGCACGGGAGCCTTGTGAAGGAGAGGAAATGCCGGAGGAAGGTGCTCCCGTGGAACTGGTGTTCCTAGCCAGTTGCTTCTGCCCTTAGTAAGACCATTTTGGTTTCCTAAGAAGTCCTCTTCCTCTGGTGCCATCCTTACCTCGTGGGCCAACAGGACCTTGGGGCCCAGGGTCCCCTGCAAGACCTGGAATGCCATTGATGCCTGGTAGACCCAAGGGGCCAGGAGGAACGTAGATAGCTTCCACAACTGGTATTTTCCCAGGAGCCCCTTGAAGGCCCGGAGAGCCTGTGGGCCGGTGGAGGAAATGGCACTGTTAGGTTGAGGACAACAGAGAGGGGGGCAGGATGGAGCCTAAGGAGCCTTCCTTTCTGCTTTGTATTCATCAGCTTTCTGCCCTGTCACCACAGTCTTCACCAGGCAGCTCCAGGCTGATTGTCACTACACGCTACACAGCGCCCTCATTGCCAGTTCGCTTGCATTGGCTTGGTGGCTCATGGGCAGGGACCGAGTCATGTTCATCTTGACTCCTCAGGGCCCAGCACAGAACCTGGCAGGTGGTAGGCAATTAAGAAGCATCTGTTACACTTGCTTTGGCTCAAGGAGGGAGCAGTTGGCTTACTCACCACTGGTCAGAACACAGTGCCAAGGAGACTTGGGATGTGTCCGACCCCAGATGTTCAGTTAGCATCATGGCCTATGAGCCTGACCCCAGGCTGCTACCTTACTAATAATTTGCTTGCCAAGTCATTGAACAAGTATTTCCTGTGTGCTTACTGTGTAATGGGGTCGTGGGAGATCTGAGAATACAGCAGTGAGTAAGATACATCTTTATGAAGATGATTATAGTCTAGTGATAAAAGTGAACATTGCACAATTTGAAAAATGCCATTATTCTTTGGGAAAGTTGTGAGAAAAGCTATGAAGGAAACAACGTGGTGACCATGGGAAGAAGCACAGATATTTTAGAAAGCAATCAGTGGCCTTTCATAAGGAGTGACAGTTAAGCTAAAATCACTGAAACATTGGAAGCAGCTAGTCATTTGAAAAGAAGAGGATAAGGGTATTTCAAGAAGTAGAATTGACATGTGCAAAGGGCCTGTGGTAGGCCAAGACTTGTGATTTTTGAATACCTGAAAGAGTTGAGTGTAGCAGAAACACAGTGAGCAGTAAAGGAGAAGGACTGGAATGAGTATGCAAAGGGGGGAACCACAAATGCCTTTATGGGCCACAGTTAGTTTGTATCTCTGCCATAGTAGCAAATGGATGATTTATGTTCTTATTGGTCACTATGTAGAAAAATGATTATTGGGTGTGTGTGGGGTTCCTGCACGGGACCCTGTGGTGGCTTGGATCTTGGGCTAGCAGTGGAGGTGATGAGAAGAGAACAGATGCAGGTGCGTTTAGAAGATACATGCTTCAGGGCTTGCTAATGGACTGGGTGTGTGGGGCAGGGGGTGGGGCTGGTAAAGAATAGAGAAAATGGTTCTTCATTTCTGGATTGAGCGAGTGAGTGGGTGGTGATCCGTGAGCAAACTCAATGCCCACCAACCATCTCTCTGCGGAGAAATGAGGAGAAATGACGCAGACAGAGGAAGTGTGGCAAGATCCCTAGTGGCGAAGCAGCAATGGCTGTCAGTCCTGGTAGTTAATAGAGGAAGAGGTATCTGCATGTGGAAAAACTACCTCCTGGGGTGCGGGGCTTTTCTAGGCTGCTTCAGGCCTCCAGGCTTTGTTGGCATGGTGAGCAGCGACTCCTAAAAGAACCTTATCCCCAAACCTCACCCCTCCCTCCATCTCAGACTCAGACCAGCACATGCTCCCAACTCACCTCGTGGCCCTGCTTTCCCCTTCATCCCGGGTAATCCTGGATCTCCAGGTGGCCCAACCTTCCCTGGAGTCCCCATGAAGCCAGCCTCACCTTTCATGCCTGGCAAAGTCCAAAGGAAAGCGAGTCAGGCTTCGTCATGATGGTGGTGGTGGTGGAGGTGGTGGCGGCAGAGAGGAGACGAGGCAGCAGGAGGCAGGGAAGAGTGCCATCAGCTGGTCTCTCTTCACATGGCTGCTGGAGGGCCATTTCTGGCTGTGGAGTGGGGAAGGGCCCAGCAAGCAATCAAGCGGCCATACCTTTCAGTCCTAGTTCTCCAGAGAGGCCAGAGAAACCTGGAATTCCTTGGTCTCCCTTGGGCCCTTGAAGGCCAGGAATTCCAGGGAATCCAGGGTCTCCAGGGTCGCCTTGATCTGAGGATGGCCCAGGGGGACCTGGGGACCCTTGGTTGCCTGGGCGGCCTAGGGATAAGATAGGCAGAGAGATGAGAGGCATGTGAGCAGGAAGTAGCAGCTACTGAAGGCCCGGGGACTGATGGGGAGCCAAAGCCCATTCCTAAGACAGAGAATATTTCTTTGACATCTGTGAAGTCCGGGGGTTGAGACCTTCCCAAACCCTTACAACAAAAGGCAGCCAGCTCTAGTTCCCTGTATCGTGGTTGGGGAGATGGGGGCGAGAGTTGAGGCCAAATAGGCCCATGCACATCCAGCACCAGGGCTGCACTGTATATAGGACCTTCCGGGAAACTCGATTCAATGGGCTGGCCAGTCCTCTTTGGGGCTTCCTATCTTTACCTCGTTCTCCATCTAGGCCTGCTCGCCCAGGCTGACCAGGCCGTCCTGCTATGATTGAGGGCAAGGAGATGCCTTGGGCACCGGGGGGGCCAGCAGGACCTTGGAGACCTGGGAAACCTGCAAAGAATAAATAAAAGGGGCCTGGTGGGCTCTGCATGCCCAGGACAGGCCCATATTCTTTCAGAGAAATTGGAAGCAGACAGGTAGAAGCCAGGCCAGAGGTCACCCGCAGAAGGCTCTTCTCCCTTCATCCTTTCTTCTCACCAAGAAGACAAGAGTACCGAGAAAGGTTCAGATGCCTCCTTTCCAAGTGGAGCTTCATTTGATTGGGATAGAGCAGCAGAAAGTTCTGGCTCCCCAATTCCTCAGGTAATAGAGATGTTTTAGGCTGATTTCCTCCAAATCAAAAATAAAAGAAGGCATCTGAGCAGCTGGAATATAAGTTGCCCATGTTCTTAGGACTACTACTGTCCTGGTGAGACCACATTTCATGTGTTAGCTAGTTATGTCTGATGCTGCACAAAAGCAATGTGTACGGGTAGGTCTCACGGCCTGGCCAAGTCAGAAGGGAAATGGCAAGAGCTCTGAGCCTTCCGGTGTCTTCTAGGCTTCTGGGCTCTCACCTGGGGCTTCTAGGCAAACTGGAAAACAGTCTTTCATAGGAAATTCATATTACCCACATGGTCAGTTAATTACCTAGAGAACAAATTTCTTTGCATTAAATCTCTTCTAACTTTTGGGCCAAAGAGAATGCTATTTATTAGAGTAGATACTTGTTTGCTAAGCTTTTAACACTCTTTTACATGTTTTCTCTTTCTACAGCAACTTCTACTATACATTCCAAACAAAATTTTCATTCTATTACAAAATAATTAATATTCATATGTCATGTACAAAGCGGGTAATCTTGATGGGAAAACACATTGAAGCTTTGTATACAAACATAGAAGTTCACATTATACATCATAGTGAAGAAATGTATGTATGACTGTAGTGTATTCTAGAAGATATTCAAATGAAGAGAATTTGATTCAAACAGGTTGATAAACTGTTATGGTGGTTGGGAATTTTTTTCTGGTGACAGAAGATAAAAACATTAATATTGAGTTTCTCATCTTATATCCATCTAATGTAAACTTGTAAAGAAAGACGGTAGATTGGTTAATTCAGGTTTTTAAAAACAGATATTTTATCATTATTAATGGAATCTAGAGACAAAAATTTAAAAAGAGACTCAATAATTTTAAGTCTGGGAAAGCAAAAAAAAAATACAAGTAGAAAAACTAGTGATAAAGCTACATGGTGTTATTTGTAGCATTGTCAGTTGTGCCTCAGTGAATCTTTGAAGTTAGTTTTCTTTTTCATGGAGGCAAAGATCTGAAAAAACATATTGTATTCCTTTATCCTGAAAAACCAGATTTATGTATGTATGTATGTATCCACATACAATAAAGTATGGCAAAACAGAGATTATAATGGTTCCTACACCACTTTTGGAGCCACCTCACTGCTTACATGTTTTTTGATTTGCTAATTATACCAATATATTATGAAATCTGAAATAAAGGCACTACTGACCTGAAGTAGTGCAAAATCTCATATATTTAATTGATTCAGAGTAAAATACTTCCACTGAGCAGGTATAAATGCTAAATGTCCTATTTTTCTAACATTCCAGGGACAAGGTCTTAAACTAAATGTAGAGATGCAAACAAAAATTTAGTACAAACATGAAAACTTTGTGTAATGGAAAATTATTTAGCTAAAGGTATTGTGAAGACAATGAATGCTCCATGAAACTTTCTTAAGAATAAAGCCTTGTCTTGCACTGACTTTCACTTATTAAGTCATGGTGCCTGTGGGGGCAGGATACGTGCTGTATTCATTTTAAGTACATTGTTTTAATTACTCATTGAGGGAATACCACAGAATATCTATGAATGATATGTAAAGAATAACCCAAGCATGATGACACACCTGTGTTCCAACCACCTCATTTAAGTCAAAAGATGGCATGACCTTTGACTTTTTTGAGCGACCCCTTCCATCCTTCAAAGAGGCACCCACTCCTGAATTTTGTGGTCATCATCCCCTTCATTTTCGTCATAGCTTCACCATGAATAGTTGTATCCTTCAACAACATATTAGTTGTTTTTGCTTAGTTTTGAATGTTTATCAATTAAATCATACCAAATGACATGCCTTTTTTTCTTGCTCAATATTATGTTCCAGAAATGTATCCATCTTGATGTGTTCTACTTACTACGTGTGCAACTGATGTTATTGCTTCAGTGAAGAGAATGAATAATTAAATGACCAGGCATTTGCAGTCAAGATTTGTAAACAGAAAAGGGAATGTCCTATGTCCATCTGATCCCCTCTTCTCTATGTCCTGTGGAAGAAGCCTGGTCTCTTTGTAGGCCGGGGCCCTGCTCTGAGCCCTCTGCATAAGCTGCTGGCTTTTAGAAAAAAAAACAGGTTGTTCCAGACCAAAGGGAAGAGTAAACACAGAAGCACCAGACGCACGATTTAAAATTCAACAGTAAATGAGTTAATGTGTGAATATAGTTCCCAGGAAACATATGAACATTATACAAACATAAAGAAAATGTGAGAAGAACCAAGGCCCTAGAGCTAAGAGGAACAGAACATTTTGCAAACATAACTTACCCAGGTTACACATAATGCTATAATGGCCAGCATTTCTCGAGTGCCTACTAGGTGGCAACACTGCGCTAAGTGCTTTGATATACATTACTTCACTCCTCACCGATTCCTCACAAAGCCTATGAGCTAGATTCTGTTATTACATTCATTTTACACAAAATTAAAATGTAGGTTTATTTGGGATTGGGGATAAGTAACTTAATTTTTCAAGGTCATACAGGTAGTGGGAAGTAGGCTGGAATTTGAACTCTGCTGGTCTGACTTCAGAACTCTTAGTCTTAGCCACGGGGCCACACTGAATTCACTTCCTGGTCTACACTGCGTGGAACGTATATGGGTCCTCAGGACATTCCTAAGGAAAGTTGAAGAATGAGAATTCCTTTTAATTTTTGAGAGGTGGGAAAAGAGAGGCACAGAAAAAGACTTCAGGCAATGTGATGAGCCAGGGGCTGAGATTAGGAAGGAATCTGTTTTGTTTTGTTTTGTTTTTGTACCAGGCTTGTGCTTGCCAGGCAGGTGCTTATGCCACTGAGCTATATCCCCATCTGGGATCTGCTTTCTAGTAAAGCCAAGAAATCCTAATTGAAGGCATGTGGCGGTTCCGTCCTCAGGAGACACTTATTCTCACACTCTTGGGCTTCTTCCAGCCACCACAAGGTCTTCCCAGGGCCCCGGAAGCACTGTCCACGCCGGACACGGAGGATACTCTGGCCAAGCTCTTAAGTAGACAAGTCCTGTCCTTTAGCACCGTTAAACTCCGGCTCTGACCAAGTGAGTAAGAGAGGCCTTGTGTTGACAGGGGGACCTGGAGGCTAGAGGGGACTTGGCGAACTGCTTCCTGACACCTTTGCACTGGAAAGTCGTAGGCACAGCCTACTGTCTCCTTCTCAGCAGTCAGTCCCGATGGGGTTCTGAGAGTCCCAGAGATGTGGAGGCATGCCCCCGGCCACATAGCCTTGATGAACAAACCCGGCTCCCCAGCAAGAGCTCGTTCAGCCTTTCTAAGGCCTGACTTGAGCTCACTCACCTCTGCCACCTTTTTGTCCTCTTGGGCCTGGCTTCCCTGGGGCTCCAATGACAGTTCCTGGTGTTCCCTTTTCCCCTTTGGGACCAGGAAGGCCTGCAGGCCCGGGTACACCTGTGACACTGGCTCCTGGGAGACACAGAGGGAGGGGACAGCGTTCAGCAAAGGCGAGACCCTCATCCTTAGCTCCCTTGCCTGTGGCTGCAAGAAGAGCTCATTCATGTAGGAAGACAAACTCTACTCTCTTTCCTCCTTGCATCAAAGAACTTCAGACTGAAAGCTCGTGAGGAGATCTATGAGTCCAAGAACATGCACTACGCCAGAGACAAGAACTAATGGCCAGTCTCCCCCAGGTGTCTGAAAAAGCTGTTGTTCTCCTCCTTTCCCTTCAAAGTCTTCCTTACCTGGGGTGCCATGGGCACCCTTGGTTCCTGGAAGCCCATTCAGTCCATGTAAGCCAGGAAGTCCAGAGAATCCTGAGGGTGAAAGAAAAAACATCAAAAATGGCCCCAGCAACTCTGAATCCTGAAGAGTTAGCCCACAAAGGCACTACAAGGTTCTTATTTTGAAGACCTGGTCTTTCTGGAGGCATTATTTAATGCCCTGTGAGTAAATAGCACACCCCTATCCTATACCCCGCACCCTAGGATCTTATGATTCTTGCCAGAGATCAGTATGGCTTCAAGAGTGCGATGGCAGCTAAATAGTTATCTTGAAGAACTCAGAGTGGCAAGGCCTCACAGGGCCTTGAGTTTCCAGCTCTCAGACAATGGGTCTAGAAACTTGCTGCCAAATCTCTAAGTCAAGGCAAGGTAACATATTGCAGGGCAATAGTTTTCTGCTAATAGTTGGGTATAGTTTGAGTGTGTCCTCAAGTGTTCATGTGGTGGAAACTTGGTTTCCAGTATGGTGAGGTTAAGAGGTGGTGAGAACTTTAAGAGGTGAGGCATAGTAGAAAGTGATTGGGTTATGGGGAACACTGTCCTCAGAAGGGATTAAATTAGTTCTCATGAGACCCTGAGTTCTTGCAAGACTGAATTGTTATAAGTTTTTTTTGAGACAGTGTCTTGCTATGTAATCCAGGCTGGCCTTGAGCTCACTTATGGAGCCCAGGCTGACCTCAAACTCACAGCAAGCCTCCTATCTCAGCCTCCTGAGTGCTGGGATTACAGGTGTGAACTACTATGCCTGTCTAAGATTGAATTGTTAAAAAACCAACCAAACAAAAACCCCAAACTGGCCCTTTCCTCTCTCTGGCTTGTCTTGACACGTGGTCTTCCTCTTGCACACCCTCTGCCACGATGGCATGCTCTATGAAGTGACATAGCTGGGAGGCCTTCACCAGGGCCTGAGCCATGCTTTTTGGAGTTTCAACCTCCAAAACTATGAGCTCAATTTAAATCTTTTCTTTATAAGAATCCAGCTCCAGAGATTTTGTTATAGTAATGGAAAACTAATACACCCTTCTTGGTTCGTCTTTTCTCCACAGATCCCATGTTCTTCTTTTTCCATTCATGCTTGTCTACCTCCCTTCCTCTTCATTCTCCTTTCCTATGATTCTTCATGTAGCCCAGTCAGTGACTCCCCTGGGCATAGCTTAACCCTACTGTCTTCTAAGATAAAGGAGGTGCTGTCCTTTATTGCGGGAGAATACTTCTCTGCACCTTCTACTGTCAAATACACATACCTTTGGGTCCAATTAATCCAGAGGGGCCCAGGGGCCCATGGGTCCCTGAATGACCAGAGGAACCTGGAAATCCTGGGTCTCCTCTGATACCTGCAATTCCCGGACGTCCTAAATGTGAAATCAAGGCAGGAGTTCAGAATAGAGTATGGCTTGAAGTTAATCCTAACTTTTATTTTAGAATAAAATTGTCATATGGCGTGGTACCTGGGGAGCCAGGAAGGCCAACATCTCCAGAAATACCAACTTTTCCACCTTCACCTTTGTTTCCTGGGAAACCAACGTCACCAACTAGTCCATCTTTTCCTTTCACACCTGTAAATCAAGAAGAATACTGAGTGGTCAGGTCACATTTTTGGAAATACATTCATCCATGGGAAGGAAGTGGAGTGGAAGGTTTTACCTTCCATAAGGAGGAGGGTGAAGCCCTTTTGAACTGCTGAGGGAACCTGAGCTAATGAAGAAGCTCTGAAAATGATTGTCGTAGCTGTATTCACATTTGGAAGATACCACCTAGTGGACAAGTAAGTAGACTTGTCCTGAGTATATTCCATACGTGGGGGTATAGGTTTAAATGTTTGAGAAGCACATTTTTCTGCACTGGGTGAAGTGGCAGCACTTGGAGTTGGCCTTCAAAATGTCTTCTACTACTCAGTTTTGAAGAGTCTATGAGGCACACGAGACAAAAGTATAGTAGCCTTACCTTTAATACCTGGGTCACCAGGTTGTCCCTTGGGTCCTGGGCTACCGGAAATTTCAAGCATCTGGCCCTTATCTCCTGGTAATAACAAGACACTGTTTAAATGCTTGGGAGCAGCTGTAGTTCATTTTGTACAAATGAGCTATTTTAATCAGTTCTTTTTTTCAGATTCAGTATAGCTAACAGAGCTCCTTAACAAAATTATCCATTGGGTAAAAGGTGACCAATTACTGCCTAGGAGCTGGAATGCTACCGGGGTACTGGTATGATATGTTGTTGCATGCTGTACATTTTTATTGGGAAACATATCACTAGGCTATGAACAGGGAAAGTGGTAGGTGGGGCCTGAAACATCACTGGAATCAAACAGTGATGCCAGCAAGTATGGGAAGTTTTCCTGCCTAGTGGGCTGGGATCATCAGGGGAAGACACTAGGTGGAGCTGAAGTTTTCTGCTGCTGAGTCTGGAAAATATATGGGTTAAATTAGTATGTCAAAGAATAGCCTTTTTCTTGGCTCTGTGAAAGCCCTGGAGAGAGCTTGATAGGTACCCTTCTTTACAGCTGCTTTGAGGAACAAGGATTGAGGAAGGGCTGGCCAAAGGGGAAATGTAAACCAATTCACTGTCTCCTAAGCAGAAAGTCTCCCTCTAAGAGAGCCTTGGGCCTGCTGTAAATCCATCTTGCTCTAAAAAACAAACAAACAAACAAAAACAAATTAAAAGACAAAGCGCTCCTTACCTTTTGATCCTGGGAGACCAGATGCTCCCAGGAGTCCAGGAGCTCCAGTGAGACCCTGTGAACCCTTCAAAGCAAAATGAGAGTCATCATTTCTGCCCAGAGCTCAGAGCTCCCCACCATCTCACTCCCTTTCCATTCAAGCTATTGCCTGAGAGATGTCTGTCACACACTCCTGTATCAGGGTAGACTGTGTGGGGGTGGGGTGGCGTACATTCTGCAAATGGGAAGGTGATGAGCCAGAGGCCAAAGTGTACTTGGGATTTATACTGGAAGGATTCTATATGCAAATTAACCCTTGTCTTGTCATTGTTATGGTTTGTGTCTGCATGTCCTCTTAAATCCTCATGCAGTCAGAGGGCAGGCTTTCAGAGTTTTAGATTCTTGCGTGTGAGTGTTACACCGCCCTGGGGTGGATAGTTTGCATATGCAAGGGAGAGAAAGAGACTGCCTGCCTCCACCCCTCCCTTTTGCTCTTGCTGCTTTACTATCTTCTGCTGCCTTGAACTCTTGCCCTGTGCCATGTGCTCCTCTGCCTCAGAGCCAGTGGAGTATGGACTGAAACCTCCACAGACTGTGAGCTACATAAACCTTTCCTTCCTTAATTTTGGGCATCAGGTATTTTGTCTCAGCAATGACAGAAAAGTAACCAAGACAGTCATTTATAACTTTTAATTTGCCAAAACTGAAACCTTGGCAAATCAAAGTTTGACTGCTCTAGCAAGTCTCAGAAAATGCAGACCATGACAGGCCAGGCACTCAGCGTGTTCCTCAGTCAGCTACCACCATACTGGCCAAAGCCCTAGAGCCACTACACATAAGTGTGGCTTCACCATGCAGGGCTAGTCCTCTGCATGGTCACCCTGTCTGACTCTGGGAATTGGGCATGTCAGCTGCTGTCAGCACAGTTCTTCTGGTATGGTTTTGATTCATTTGTATATACACCCAGTAAAGACACATGCTTTTGGCAGGAGGCTGAGTACTGAGCTGGGTCACCGTGCCCACCCGACCACCACCGAGGATACCTGCCCGTGCCCCATTCTGCCTGCTTCCTTGCCTGGCTTCATCTGGCATTGCCATAGTTACTCCTAACTATGTGCCTCTGGTTATACTGAGGCCCCTCAGGGAATGCCTTCCTTTTTTGTCTCCATCATTCCTTATACAGAATGTGAGGAGTCAGACCATTCAGCCTAAAACTGTTTATATTGCAATTGCTTCAAATATGTGTATGTGTGTTCTCTCCACCAAGTGGCCTGACACTCTCGAAGGACAGGGACTTCGCCTGCAGAGAGCACAGGTGTTTTGTGCCTAGTTCATTTCAGTGTTTCAATACTGCTACTACTTATGCAGAGCTTGTGCCTAACACAATGTTAATGCTTTACACACAGCATCTCTATCTTCACTACTATCTGAAAAAGGTTTGAACATTATTCCCATTTTTATGAGGAAAATGAGGCTCAGAGAAGTTAATGTGCACAAGATCACAGAGCTAATTAGTGATAGCATGGAGATCAAATCCAAGTCTATCTTTTTGCTAAGCCTACTCTACTCTGCCTTTTAAGAACCCGGAGAAACTCTTGCTGATTCTTTGCTAGTTATTGCCCCTGTGGATCTTCAAAGATCTCTCTATCAAAACATCAAGAAATCGAACTGAATCTTTACGATGTGCTTAGCTCAATGTGAGATGCTGGCAGTGGGGTGCAGACAAAGAAGGATGTATGGTAGTTCTTATTCTTAAGCCCTAGCAATCTCATCAAGGAAGTCAGATCCCCCGAGAACCAAATAGATCAATCAAAGCAGTGATGAGTGAAGGGTACCAGCACAGTGGGAGCTGAGAGATTTCTGAGGCGATGGTGCCTGGGCTGGGGCGTAAAGGGCAGCCAAGTATTGACAAGTGCAGAGGAGGGAGGAGGCTCTGCCACGTTCCTGAGATAATGTGAATAAAGGCAGAGAAAAGGGGGTGGGTATTCAGGAAAGAGTCGAGCTGTCAGACTCAAGGAGTGGGCTTCGTTTGAGGATATTCTGGAAAAAGGGGCTAGTGAGCTGGGGATTTAGCTGAGCGGCGCAGTGAATGCCTGGCAAGCATGAGGCTGTGAGTTTGATTCCCAGTACCAAGAAAAGGGGGAGGCTAGGATCAGAAAGGTGGGCACTGGAAAGCATGTCCCCCTGCTCCGGAGGCCCTTCTCTGGTGAAGAAGCAAGGATCTAGGCACACTTACACTTTCTCCTGGCATTCCTGGAAAACCTGGGATTCCTGAGGAACCCTTCAGGCCAGGTAAGCCCTGCAGCCCCGTGGAGCCAGGGGCACCTGGCATCCCGCTAAGCCCTTTGATGGTGCTGGGGAAGCCAGGAGCTCCAGGCAGGCCTGGTGACCCTGGGCGGCCAGCCTCTCCTTTGTCACCTGCAGAAAAAGCAAAAGGTCCTGGAAAAAGACTCTAGGTGAGAGAAAACTTGCTTGTCCAGGTGTAGATGTCCTGAGTCACAGGCTAAGTATAAGCTGGAGGGTGGAGCAAGTTACCCCTTGGGAGCAGAGAGGTGCCTTCAGTGTTCTGGGGCACTGTCAAGGTCACCCCTGCTCCAGCACCGGGGAAACAGTTCAGTGCTCTAACCCCAGTATATAGCGTGGTTTTCCAGAGATGCCACGATCTGTGGTTCAAAACCTCAATTCCATCGTGGCAATGGCAAATGGCAGTCTCAAAGTCCTGGGATCTGTAAGTTCAGGGAAAACAGCCTTCTTTGACCTTATGCTGCCACCCGCACTGCTGCTCCATGGGGCCTTTTCTCAGAAAGGAAGTGAAATCTGGCTGTATACGCTTTCTTGGCCATTTCTCCTGACCATCCCCTGCCTCATCACCTCTGGGCCCAGGAAATCCATCTGATCCAGCTGATCCCTGAGAGCCTTGGTCGCCTTTGAACCACAGACTCAGCATCGGAGGTCTGGGACCGGGTACTCCAACTGGGCCTCGATCACCTCTGTCTCCTGCAAGAATAGAGAGCAGGTGATCAGCGTGTGTGTGTGTGTGTGTGTGTGTGTGTGTGTGTGTGTGTGAGAGAGAGAGAGAGAGAGAGAGAGAGAGAGAGAGAGAGAGAGAGAAAGAGAGAGAGGGAATTAAATGCAGAGACAGGGAAAGGCTGAGTTTGACATTGTTTCTTCCCACATCACCCCCTCTTTCTGGGCCCTTCCATCATCTTCCCTACCCTACCCTCTGAACTTTGCATTTCTGTGTATATATTCTCTTCAAACCCAAAGTCCATCCGTAACTTTAGACCTTGCCCCAAACCCTCCTCTAAGGGTAATGTGAGAATGTATAGTTAAAGCTTCTGTTATTTGTTTGTTTTTTTTTTTTTTTTTTTTTTTTTTTTTTTTT